TCCGGCTCTTCTTCAGGATGTGGATCTCAGCACTTGGGGATGGTGCCTGCTCTTGCAACAATTGTAGGGGCAGTACCAAACCCCTTTTCAGGGGCTTAGCTACTGTGACTGTTCGTCGGGAAAGGCGTCGGAGCCTTGCGGGAGGGTAATTTTCCTTTTCCTTTGGGTCCATAGCCACCTGGGCGAGCACCTTGGTCTGCAGTTCTTTTTGTTTCACCTTAAGCATCTTAATCTCCATGTATTTCTCCTCCACTGTCTTCATGAACACCATTTGTTCTCGCTTTAGAGCGTTCAGCAGAGGGGTTCCTTGGCTCCCCTGGGAGCCCAGAAGACGGTCCAAGCTTAGCAGGTGCTCCAGCATCGCCGGGTCCATGCTGCTGAGCTTCTGCAGGGAGCCGAGTTTCTGGGAGGCAGAGGCTGGAGCTGCTGGGGCTCGGGGCTCCCCACCTCCTCCTCAAGTCCTCGGGCTCTTTTAGCCTCGGAGCCTAGCAGTTCTGAGACAGATGGACAGGCGCCAAGACGTGAGGCTGCAGGCTCTCGTTGGTAAAAGGCCGGTTGATCACTTCCTTGGACCTGGCAGCAAAGCTGAGTGCAGTGACTGTGTCCAGGCAGAAGCGCCTCGTGGGGGCAATGTTGGCAATGAGGATGCTGTGGGCGGAGGCACCCAGGGAGTCCTGCAGCAGGCGAGTGAGCTCGCTGTCCTGGTAGGGGACGCGAGGGCAGCCTAGGTTCAGCGCATCCACCTTGCCCAGCACGAAGAGGGAGGTGTTGATGGCGCCGCTCTCCTTCAGCCTCAGCCCAATGTTCCCCGTGCGCCGGCTGTCCTCTGAGCCGGTCAAGTCGATCAGGTAGAGCTTGCCCTCTCGCTCGCGAAATGGGGCCAGCCGCTCTACCTTGACCAGAAGCACAGCGTGCTTAATGCCCTTTATGTAATACTCTCTTATACATGAGTGTCTATGAATTTTTTCTAGTCTACCCAGCCTAACACACCAAGCTTTCCCCTTTGTCTTCCCTTCAATAAAAGGCTCACCTTGGACTGGCCCCACCAGGGAGGACCCCTGGTCAACTGGCCCTCCTCCAGGGGCTGGCCCCTCCGAGTGCTCTAGTCCATCCAGGGCAACAGGACAGTTATTGAGTTTTCCTGTCAGCGTCAGCCAGCCAGTGTTGGGGCGTTCTGCTGGAAGCTGAACACAATGCCCCAACTCTCCCCCTAGTCATGAGATCATCTCCCACCCCTACTGCCCTCACTGTGGCCCTGGGGAGGGGACTGGCCCAGAAGACTCTGTAAAACAAGGGCAGATACAATCAGTGCCAGGGGCTACAAACCACCTACTATGTGGTTGCTGCCTGAGTCCTAGGCAGCTGGCCCTCCAGAGAAAGGACACCATCCTATCCTGCCACAGGAGCCACTCACCTACTGGGAGCCCAGGCCCGCCGTGTAGGCAGGCCTCAAGACCCCGCAGACTCCATGCCAGCTGTGGCCTGCCCAGCAATGCCATGAAATGACAAACCACACCCACTCCAACATCTGGCAGGCATGTAGGGAGGACAGAGGACAGGCTCTTCATGGACCAATGGGGAGGACTGAGGAGGCTCAGGCCGCCCATCAGAGAGCTGGTGGCTGGATTTTGCTCCAAAACACAAAGACCATCCTGGGGGCCGGAGGCACCTCGGGTACAACTGATCCATGGGGGCCACTACACAGCCAGATCTTAAAGCAGCTCGTGTGGCTGGCAGTCTCCAGGGAGGTCTGGATTTGGAAGTTCTGGGACCTGGGCAGCCGGTTACTGAGACCTGCACCAGGGTCGAGGGAGATCCGTGTGCCTGGCTCGTGTGCTCAGAGGGACCTCTCATGGTTCATGGGAATTTCTATCCTCCACTTCTGTTTCCACATGACCTTTGGTGCTAGGCCTGTAGTCTTGTGCCTGCGGATGTCCTGGTTAGCTTTGCCTTGCCCAGTGACGACGGGAGAGCTCACCTGGGTCTCCACCCACCTTGGCTTTCAAACCTTGGGTCCCACACGTCTCCTCCCCCCCACCCCCCCAATTCCAAAAGCATTCACACAGAGTACTGACTGATCAGAATATCAGAGTTTTCTTTAAAAATCAAACAAAACCCCCTACCCAAACTAACCAAGGCTTTTTGTCTTACCCCCATCCCCACCCTAAGTAAAAACCTAACAGCATCATCCTGCAAGCTGGAAAACATGATGTCATTCAATGTAGCATGGGCAGCACTGTCAGGTCTAGACAGCGTGCACCGTGGAAAGCTGTTCTGAGCCTCAGGCAGCCTGGCCCACGTCAGCAGACCGCTTGGCCAGGCATCTGTACGCCTTGAACAGTTCTCCTCACATGGCCACTGCTGCATGACAACTTCAGGACAGTTAGTGCGGCGCTTTGGCATGGTAAAGGCAAAGAGCTGAGGCACGAAACGACACAGGATCACTTTACAACAGGCCACCTCAAAGGCTGAGCCAGAGAACCCAGACCTTAAGCAGCATGGAGGTGAAAATGTCAGGGTGGATGTCACATTGCGTGTGAACCTCTGTAAGACCTGTGACCGAGAGCGGCGGTGCTGGCAGCCGGGCAGGGCATGGCTGGTCAGCGGATCACGGTAATGTGGGCTGCGGTGAAGTCCAGGTCCGTCTTAGATGGGTACACAACCCTCAGGCTCCCGTCTGGATCCACTACCCGGACCTGCTCGACGACCAGGGGAGAAGCCCCATCTTTCTTGGTACTGCAGTTAGTCTGGGAGTCCGGAAATTGTCCAGAAACGGGATCAGCTTCAGGATCTGAGAGCAATTCTTCCTCTTTATTTTCCAAAGTGTATTTGTTGAGTTCTGCCATTTTCTGTGAATGGACAATGTCTTTTGAATAGGGGGGTTACAGGTAGCCTGGGAGAAACTGCAGGGTGTGCCCACAGGCAGCAGTCTGGCCCTCCCGCCCCCAGGGGCTCAGAGGCTGCTGCTGGCACTCACCAGAATGAGGGCGTCCATGGCTTCTTTGCAGATCTGCAGGCTGGTGGCGCTGGTGACCTCCAGAAACAAGTCAGACGTGGACTTTTTAATCTAAAACAATCAAATGATCAAAAGGCGGCCATCTACTTAACCAGGTGAGCTCAAGGAACAACACGTGCCTGCTGACCAGGTTCAGGAGGGCCAGGGCAGGGGCACGCTGCAGGGATGGCTCCCCTGGCTACCAGGGCTGGGTGGGGAAGGGAGGGAAAACCAAAATCAACAGGTCAGAGGGTGGACAGGTGCTAACATGGGTGAAGGGGAGGATCAGACCCTACAAGAGGGGGATGGGGGAAGGGAGAGAAACAGGCAGCCAGTGGGAGGGTTGATAGCTGTTGGAGTTGTTGACCGTGAACATGAGGAGGACCTGGTATGTAACACCCGCCATGCCCCGCTGCCAGCGCCACCTGGAGTCACAACAAAAAGCTGGGTGGGAAAGTGCACGAGTCAATCGTTGAATGTAAATCATCACCCAACCAACTCACTGCCACATGTGGGAACAGAAAGGAAAAGAAAAGAAAGAAGCAGGGCCTCGCACTGCCGCCTCCTTCCATCTGAAGGGAAATCTCCCCGGCGGACACACCCTGGCTCCTGGACACGCACCTTCGTCTTCTCACTGTTGGTGATGGGTGGGAAGGAAATGACATCGCCGTCCGCGTCCACTAGGCAGGGGTAGTTATCTTTTCCATCCAGTAAGTGAAGGTACCTGGGGGAGAGCAGACAGATCCCACTGTGAACAAGCACACCCAGAGGCTGCCCTAAGGATGAGTGACGCGGCACGTCTGCCTCAGAGGACACGGTGCTGTGGGAGCAGGCCAGGAGCTCTGCACGGTGGCCATGCCCAGCCACACGCCACACGCAGGCTCTTCAGCTGCCACACACTGGGATCAGCTGCCCAGGGTTTGGCTTTCCCCATGCTCGTGGGCGATGGCATCTCACAGGTACTGGGGAGGGAGTGGGGCTGTGTCACTCCTCTCGGGGACTCCGAGCACTGCTTCCCCGGGACCCAGGGCCCTTGGGAGCCAACCTCCTGTCACCTCAGCACTGCAGCTGAGGGAGGCGGCGTGATGCTGCTTTTGTACAACTCCAGGGAGAGCTTTCCATTCTGGTCCCTGGAGGAGCTTGCTCATGCACATAGGAATCACACTGCAGACGGCAGGCCATGGCTGCCCTTCTCCTGAGTGGCACTGAGGCCACATGGCACCAACCTGTGCAGGCCTGAGACATTCTGCCTCTTCTTTTGCTTCCTCTGCTCCTCAGCCTCCAGCTGGAGCTGCCGCACCAGGTCCTTGGCCTTGACCTCCCGCCGGCCCAAGGGGATGATCTGCAGAGCAGAAACCAGTCAGCCCACAGGCAGGCAGCAATAGGTGACCGCCGCTGCAGACCAGCCTGTCCTGGGGCCCTGGCTGCAGCATCATCTAGCACCCTCACCGCTCTTCGACTGGCTCTGGGGCCTGGCGAGTCCACCTGGGCATCAAGTGGCTAACGGGGTCACTGGGGAGAACTCGAGGGCCAAAGCGGTTCTCAACCGGTGGGTCTCAATCCCTTTGGGGGTCAAATGACCCTTTCACAGGGTTCGTCCGATTCACAACAGTAGCAAAATTATAGTTATGAAGCAGCAACAAAAATAATTTTATGGTTGGGGGGTCACCACAACATGAGCAACTGTATGAAAGGGTCACGACATTAGGAAGGCTGAGAACCACTGTTGTAAACTAAGCAGAAGCGCACACCAGGCTCACCCACACTGGAGCGTCCTCAGACCTGCCTGGGTGTGAGCTCTGCATCAGAGGGGGCACTGTCCCAGGGACCCCAGCAGACATGGGCAGGCCTCCATAGAAACTGCTCCACACCCCACCCTGCCCCACCCCACCTCCTACCCCCAGGCCCCAGAGCTCTGGTGAGGCATGCTTGGACCAAGCAACCCTCAAGTGCTCCTGCCCCACTGACACCCACACGCACGTAACCTGCTCGGACCGAAGCAGCACCTGCCCATATCCCCATGTACACACGTGGGCAGAGGCGGCAGGTCACCTTGAGGTCCTGCGGCGGCCGCACCCCGTAGAGCAGAGGCCCTCGGACGGCCTTGAGGTCGTGGGTGGCGAGGGTGGCTGCCGTCCTCTTCTCGCAAAGGTCCTCGTGCAGCTTCGTCTATAACACAGACTGGGCATCAGCGAGCCCGTGTGCCCAGGCCGGGGAGCTGCCTCCTTGCTTGCTCTTCCCTCACTGCCCGGAGCCTCATCACCCCACCAAGGGCTCTCTCCTTTGCGTCGCTAACCAAGTACTTATTCCATGGACTCATTCGGGAAAACTATTTTAGCTGTTCCTCAGGGCAATTTCTCCTCTCTCTAATTCTAGAACACAATGTTTGAAATTTCTAAGAACCGTTCAAGAATTAAATAAAACTCATGACTAAATTAGCAAAAGTATGACAAAGTGAACAATATACTGCGTATTCTTCCAAAACTCTGCTTTTGAAGTATGGAGACCTGCCAGCTTCACCCCTACCCAGGAAGAGAGGGAGCTGCATGGGGGATGGGAGGGCACCACTTTCTACAAGGCTCTCCCACATCCCAGGGCAAGCTGGGCAAAGACGGCCTTCAGAGAGAGACTCATCAGGACATGAGTTTAGCTGGAACCCCATACGCTAAACCACCCACCTGAAAACTAGCTGGCAGGTGAACAGGTGGTTGGGGGCTAAGAGGAAGCCCCGGGATTGACCCGACCCTGGCGACAGTGTGTCAGAATGGAGCTGTGAGCCTGGGCTTTCCATAGGCAGCTTTCCATCCCTTCCTCTCCGGTGTGTGTGTGTGGGTTAAAATCGCCAACCTGCTGGTCAGCAGCAGCAGCTGAGTGAGTGCTAACTGTGCACGACCAAGGGATTCGTCAGACTTAATACACTCTCATGGAAAAGCAATGTGCAGCTCCCTGCAGAAACCAGAAAATCTATCCAATTACAGCGCTAGGTGGTTGCTCCCGACCTGGGCAAGCGTCACCACAAGACACA